ATGCCTGAGACAAAGTCGATGCACCTTGCAGCTCTGCCAATCGACGCTTGGCTGCAACCATTCTCTCTTCAAGTGTCGTGTGTCTACCCTGTTATTCTTTTGCCTCCGCCCGAGCGGCGATAAGGTCCTTAAGAAGTTGGTCTCTGAAATAGCATTCTCTTTCCAAGTCTCGGGTACGTGAGATGGTAGTGTCTGTAGTAGCACGCAGTTTCCGAACTCGATTTGCAGTCTCCCTGTTTTAATCCCCGACGTTCGTGATCTGTCGGGTCTTCACCGGGAGGGCTCTGTCAGTCGGTCCCCCGTGGTTGAGGTCATAGCAACCTCATTGGTCTCCAAATGGTAATCGATGTCGTTGCTGTCGACTCCAACCCTCGATCACGGTTGGCCAACGGGGCACAGGTCCGATGTAGTCGAAGCGGTTCGTGGGAACCTTGGCTATGTATGGGGGGTTGATCACCTCCGGTTCCTCTTCTGATTCTTCCTCGTCTTCATCCTCACTCGTCATTATTTCGATTTCCACATCTTCAGATTCTTCTTCCTCGTTTTCCTCGGGTTCTTCATTGGGGTCTTCTTCGGGTTCTTCTCCTAACCATCCACCATTTCCCTGGTTGGGAAAGTAGGGGTCGCCTGGTAAATAGAGTCTTTCCATGTTATACGTGCGAGAATAGGAGGGGTAGGAAGCATATATTAGTCGTATCCCTAGAAATACTTATAGGGGTTTGATACTCATTAGTTACTTCTATAATGACATAGTGCATACTAATTACATATAACAAAGATATGATAGACCTTCGAATAAGTGATCCTACCCTAGGTCCACATCCAAACAAGGAAAAGGAAGTAAGGCAATGGCCACAGATTCTAAGTCTATGATCTCTAAGTTATATATAACTTTAGAGTATCGACTTAGTGACTATAGATCTATTATTAAGGATCTGTTTAGTTTTCACATAAGTTATAATATTACAAAATACTCCTATAGTATTTTTAAATGTTATGTTTGGTTCTTAGCAACTTTCTTGTATGGGAAGTTTTTAGGCTTGTTGCTCACTCCGACCATACCCCGGTATACATTAGTCACACCTCGGATAAATATAGTTGATCAGGCTATATTCATCCCAAGTCTGATTACATATCCCAAGTTCTACTCGTAGTGTCCAACTCCTCGTTTTACTTTTGTATTGTCCTAGATATGATACTATACTAGTATGTATGTATGTACTTATACTTTTAACAAGAAACTATTTATTTCAAAAAAAATATAGTTATTTGAAACCGTTTAAATCAGAGACTTTAGTCCCAATGCATTTATAGTTTGTATATCTTATGTGGTTCGATATACTTAGTTCACTATAAACAATGCTCTGATACCAATCTGTCACACCCCCAAACCAAGGATGGCGGAAACGTCCGGGGGTGGCGGACTTCATGTATAGTATCATAACAACGAGTATAATGGTGATCAAAGCAATACAACCAATCATAAATATAATCGGAAAAGAATTACATGGTTTCAAGTGTTACATATTTCGATGATTGATTACAACATGATATAAAAATAGTTGTTCAACGTCGTAGCGTTCCATCCTCAAAAGCTTGTGAGTACCTGGTTTCGTTGATTTCCTGAGAATACAAGTAGTTTTGAAAAAGTGTCAACAATTAAGTTGGTGAGTTCATAAGCTTTTTAGATGAAGAGTTTGGAAACCGATCTTTGTAATGAATTGTGTGATACCAAGAAAAATCCAATATTTTCCTTACAAAATTAATGTGTAGTCTTTAATTCCAAGACCGAAAGTGTACAGTAATATCCATACTTATTGATGTAAAAAGTGATTTTATATCGACATAAAACCCTTTTTGATTTGAGAAAATCCCCGTAAACTTTATGTGTTGTTAACTCCCTATGTGAGTCGCTATAACCATACTATGACTAATGAACCTGCCACGACGTTTCTCAGGCGTCGAAAAAGATAATGACACTTGTCACCCCAGACCTGCCGGTCTAGCTGTTGCATGCAGTTCATGTGTGGTTTGTCAAACCCAATATAGATCTATACACAACTATCACGTTCTCCCTACAAGAGACTCTGGTTATAACTACCAGGAATTTTAACCCGTACTCTAGGAGTACTAAGAAGAATGTCTCACAATTTACGTTAACAAGTTTACGTGTAGTGTGCGTGCGTGTAAAACCTTTTTCTGTGGTAATAAAACCTTCCGAAATGTGTTTGTTGTGTTAATGGAAAGATAAACTATACCTATTATAGTTTAACATAATTGTTTGTAATGTGTATGAAACATAAACTATACTTACCATAGTTTATCATAAGTTTTTGTAATGTAAAAGAACCTTTTTCTATGTAAGTCGAATGTATAGCAAAAACATAACTATGTTTATCATGCCTTGTCTTGTACTATTGGTAATGATGGAGGATTCTTACAAATAAGTGAGTATTTTCTGTTATATAACTATACCACAACAAGAAACACATGTAAAATATGAAATCATCAAAGATTAACACTTTGCTCAACATGTTACAAAGTGTGATGAAAGTTATAAGCTGTTGATTTGTTTTTAACATTTCTGCACTGCCTTAGAAAAATCACAGAAAAATCATACAAAGTCGAAAACTAAATCCGTAAACTCTGAGAGTTTAGAAAATGTGTCTAGTTTGTCCATAAATTTTATTATGATTTTTAAAAGTCTCTAACTGGTGTGAAAACGTTCATATTCACTGACTGGTCCGAATTCGTAGCTACAGTGGTAGGCAGTTTTGTAAAAATCACCATAAATAGTAGAAACATCGTATGGACATGTGCAAGTAGTCATTTTAAAGGTAAAAACCTGAACTATTTACACCTAATACAGTTTTGAAAACTAAAAAGTTTAAGATGTCTAAAACAGTTCGTGAATGAACATTAACTTTTCTGTTGAAAGCTGATGTTTGAGTTTAGTTAAGTTGTTGGTGTTTTTACTTGTATTCCCCCCCCCCCCTTAAAACATGAAGAAAGCATGAAAATGTGGGGTTATGAACTCACCTTGTGTGGTTTCAGTAGTTGGATGATGAAGAAAGGAAGTGTTCAACTCAAGAACACTTTAGAAGATGCTTGAAGATTCGAAGATCTAACACATATATGATGAGTTTGTGTAAGATATCCATGATTTAAGTAGAAAGAAAGAGAAATAATCATGTGAGGAGTGATCTTACTTACTAGGAGTAGATGAAGAACTTATGATTAGCCTTGAATTTTCGAGATTAGAGAGGGATAGTGAGAGAGAATGGGTTTTTGCTTCTTGGTGGAGTGTGAGTGAAATGGGAGGAGAGATAAGGATTTTTCTATCCTTGGATCAAGGTGCTTGGCTGGAAGGAGTGGGAAAAAGGACGATGGAATGACCAGGTATGGTGGAATAGTGACTGGGGATGGTCATGGAGTGGGTATGGGAGGTAACTTGTGTCCTTGCCCAAAGGATAAGTCAACACTCCACCTAAATATCTTACCAACTAGATTTTATTCTTAGGAAATGATTTTCCTTAAAATATGATTAAAATATGAATATTTAGGGTCTCTTATGTTAAAATACGAGTTTGGGTGAAAATCCCGTGTTAAAATCATGAAAAACGGGCTTAAAACGGAGTCGGGGTCGAAAACCGGGAAAAGAAAGCGAAGCTGCGAAATTTCGGATAAGCAGCCGAGGGTTCGGTCTTCAGAGGTTAAGAACCGAAGGTGGCTTCGGTTGTGGGTGAGAGCCGAGAGTAGCTTCGGTCCGAGAAATCTCGCAGGCGAGAAGGGAGGGAAGCGAAGCGAGGTTCGGTCATATGGGCCTTCGGGTTCGGTTCAGGCAAGGTTCGGTCCTCAAGCAGTTTCGGTTCTTCCTGCTTCGGCTTCGGTTCCTCATCAGAGTTTTGGTTCTTATGGGTTTCGCTTCTTAGGGTTTCGGCCCTAAGAAGGTTCGGCCCTATAAGGCTGATTTTCGCGTTAACTCCCCGTTTTGCGTAGTTTTTGGCTAAGTCAAGGGTCGGGATGCCCCGAATGATTATAACACTACAACAAAATGAAGCTAATGCAACCCCGCCAAAAGGTTGCATTAGGCCTTGAAAAAGTTGCATAATGCCTAAAGCAACCTTTTGGCAAAGGTTGCATTAGGTAAAGTTGCATTAGACCTAAAGCAACCTTTTTCTTGGAAAATGCAACGCTTTTGAAATAGTTGCGAGTCTTTTTTAGATGTAACCTTTTTTGAATGCAACATTTGTTATGCAAAAAACCTATTTTTTTATGTTTATATGCAACTTTTTTTACACTTATATACAACTTTTTTTTACACTTGTATGCAACTTTTTTTAACTTTTTTTTATGTTTATATGCAACTTTTTTTTACACTTATATGCAACTTTTTTTACACTTGTATGCAAGTTTTTTTAACTGTTTTAGTTACGGATATACAACCTTTTTATAATCAATTGCAACATTTCTCTATGGTATATACAACCTTTGTTACGTCTGTAATTGCAAAAAAATGCAACCTTATTTACAGTCAAATGCAACTTTAATTTTGTGACTTTTGTAATGCTAATGCAATGTCTTTTTTTCTAGTCATGCACACACTACATATGTTTTACTACATTGGTACATATATTCATTACTACTAAAATTACATCATAACAATAATAACATAGATTATCTTGTATAATTTTAGGGTCTTCTTCGACATGTATAAATTCAAAATAACAAACATAAATCAAAGTCAACACAAAGCTATCAACTATAATCACAAAAAAAAATATTAAAAACGTCATAGACATGTACTAAACGTAGACGATAAATCATATTAGCAACTATCAAACTTCTGGAGGTTGATGTTCCACAAACTCTTGCATCATGGCTTCAAAGTTTTCTCTTTGGTTTTTAATATTTATTCACATAGCTTCTAATTCAGCCTGCTTTTTTCATGGTCATCTTGAATCTCTTTTCGCATTTCAATCAACTGATTTCTTTCAACTTCATGATGCATCACCACAACCCGCTTCTTTTATCAATTTATTAGTAACGCCTCTACCATAAATTCGACAGTATCCATCATTCTCTTTGTTCATCACAATCATATAAAGATCTACAACATCACTTCCACCTTCAAGAGGTTTGTAGTTCTTCATTAATTCCTACAAGATTATTCAAAAATGAATAAGATAATATTGCTAAAAAATCTGTTGTTAAAAAGTTGTTTATATTGTAAAAAAAAACCTGCATCTTAATATCTAAAAAACTACATTTTAACGTCTAAAAAAATTACACTTCCATATCTAGAAAATTGCATTTTAACGTCTAAAAACTGCAATTTAACGTCTAAAAAGGTAGTTTACTATCAAAAGGAAAAACGTATTGTGAAATTGAAATACAAACTTACATTGACACCAGATTCAAACTCAAACTCAGGTAACCATGAAGGTAAATACATCCAATCTTTAACATTCCCCATGTGTCCCGTACCGTGAAGATAATAGCAACATTAAAATATGTAATAAATAATATATACCAGAGAGACCTACATGTCCATGATAATTTCAAACACAAAATGAAAGACAACAAAAAGAAAAGAAAAAAATGGAAAAAAAAACTTGCAATCGAACCTTAGGTTGATGTGTGGTAGCCGGAAGTGATGCTTTGACAAGTGTGAACGTACAAAACACACCAGGTGAAAGAAAAACTGAAAAACAAATGATCTTATAGACATGTGAGCTTTTGACCAGAAGTATAACTATCCAGTGAGGAAAAACAATTTAAAAAAAAAATCAGAAAACAACCATTAAATTGGAACAATTTATATATAATATGTTGTGTAGTGATGTATATTAAACAAATGAAGATAACAACAGTGACAAAGGCAACCAATGATAAGGATTAAACACTTTATCTTACAACAAAAAGTGATTCCAAACAAACAAATAAATATTAAACAATTTGTCAATTTACAATACTATAACTCTAGATGCATTAAACAAATGAAGATTAAATAATTCCCCTTACAATACATAAGAGACAGTAAACAGTAGCACAACATTATGCATTTTTGGTCCAAGGGCTCAATCGACATTCAAAAGCAAACAAGTTAGAACTTGACTTTTCATACCAAATTAGATGAATACAATAAAGAATAACATATAATTAGGCATTTTTCGTCCAAAGAATCAACCCAATTTGCAAAGCAAACGACTTCCATTTCAATTTTGATGCCAAACAAACTAATAAAGTAAACAAACAAAACATTAGGCCTTTTTGGTCCATAACCCTTTTTTTATTAATCAATTATTTCTTCTTTATCTGTTCTAATACACCCTAATTACAAAAGAAGAAGGTATGTGACGGTAAACAAGCGTACACAAGTAAACATACACACTCCCCCAAACAAAGAAGAAACCAAACAAAAATCTGAAGTTTGAATAGTTGATAAGAATGTGTCGATATGGAGGGTTTTATCAGTGAACATACCAAACAAAAAAGAGGACAAAAAGAACTCTGAAACTTACCGATAAACTCAGAATCCGCAACTTGATATGGATTCTTTGAAAAATCAAGACTGAAATCGATGATCGAGAATTTGCAAGTTGAGCCTTGCGATGGAGGATTTTATCGCAGCTTGCCTTACATTCGTCGCACTAATCGTCGATGGAGGTTTTGAACTTAGAAGGAAGAAAAGGAAGCGAAGGGTTTCCTTCTCAGACGTGATCATCAGGTAGAGAAAATAGAAAGAGGGGTAATGTGTTTGGAACGAAAAAAAAATAAAAGATAAGTGGATATTAGTCATATATTACCTAATGGGCCATTTATTTTTAAAATAAATCGGGTTTTTAGTATACGAGAAACCCAATACACAAATCTTATACCAGACCTAACAAAAAATTGGGTTAACCGAATACCCGTATATATACTCGGATATATATACTTGATATCCGACTAACCCGATCTAATTTACCTGAATTAAGAACAGGCCGGACAGGTGATTCAGATTTTTGTTATTTTCAGTATGTGGCAGAGTGTAGGCGACCGACTAGAAATGGCAAGTTTGGATTTCTGGCATACATCACTCATCAGTTCATCTTATTTTTACAGATTTAGGGCATAGAGATTAAGGAAGTAACATAAAGAAAGGGTAAATGCATATAATTACATTTTTATTTAATAATTTTTTTTAAGTTAATAACATAAAGAGAAATAAAGTTTTCTATTTTATTTGGAAAGAAAATAAAAAAAGCAATTACAAATAGAGGGAGTTAAAATTAACAATGTAACTTTTGTAATAAAAGTTGTAATTTTCAATAAGATTTACAACTTTTTTTTTAAAAAAGTTGCAATTTTCAATAAAATTTATAACATTTTAAAAAAAGTTGCAATTTTCAATAAAATTTGCAACTTTTTAAAAACAAAGTTGCAATTTTTAATAAAGTTGGCAACTTTTTTAAACAAAGTTGCAATAATTCATCTACTGCAACCTTTTTGTTCGGTGAGACCGTCTTTATTATCAAATACAACTTTGGTGAAAAGGTTGCATCTAAAAGGTCGCAATAGACTCATTTTGTAGTAGTGTAAAAAGTTGAGGGAGGTTATGAGAGAGAGATTTGGGAGAGATTTGACATACTTGGAGAGATTTCACCTAATTGGAGAGATTTGGGAGAGATTTGACATACTTGGAGAGATTTCACATACTTGGAGAGATTTGGGAGAGATTTCACATACTTGGACAGATTTGGGAGAGATTTCACATACTTGGAGAGATTTCGGAGAGATTTCACATACTTGGAGAGATTTCACATACTTAGAGAGATTTGGGAGAGATTTTACATACTTAGGGAGATTTGGGAGAGATTTCACATACTTAGAGAGATTTGGGAGAGATTTCGTTTGAGACCTTTTTGGATGTTTAGCTTCGCTATGCAAGGTGTGTAAACCCCGTTAAGCCTTGTTATGAATGTTATACACCCTCGAAGGGTATGTATTAATGTTTTTATCGAGTAGTTCCATCTCTTACCCTAATTTGGGTGTAGATTTTCAGAACACGTGAGACTTCTCAGCGATGCTTTGTATTAAGATGGTGCGTTGTACAATAGTAAACATAAGGTAAACCCTAATATACAAGGGTTAATTGAGTTGACCGGTTTGACTTGTTGACTTTATTTGACTTTGACTTGACCAGAAATTGCCGGTTGTCACAGCTTTTGGTTGGGAGAAATAACCACGAGGATAGAGTGGAGAGAAATGGGTGCAAGTATAAGGACTTTATGACTTACAAGCCATCGACCTTCACTGGAAAAGAAGATCCGGTCGGAGTAATGGATTGGATCTCGGAAATAGAATTGGCTTTCATGACTTGTGGTTGCCAAGGCAAGTTACAAACCACATTTGCAGTGCGTCAGTTCAGGGGTAGTGCTGCTCGTTGGTGGAACACTCTGGGGAAAACCCTAAGCCCTAATGAGCCACTGCAACTGACTTGGGCAGAGTTTTTGGTGCACTTCAAGCGCAAGTACTGCTCGGCCCAAAACGTGCTTGAGCTAGAAAACCAATTTCTATCATTGAAGAAGGGGAGTATGACCGTTGATGAATACACAAATAACTTCACAGACAAAATGGAGTTTGCTTTGCATATTGTTCCAGATGAGCTGGAAAAAATTGACAGATACGCAAAGGGACTTCCATGGGAGTATGCGGTGCCAGTACGTCAGGCACTTACTTTGGAGGCAGCTGTCTGGGCTGCCAAGTCTGTTGAAGATATGATTAAAGGGAGAGCCGCCAACAAGGTTGAAGTTGGCGAAAAGAGAAAGTTTGAAGGAACTTCAGGCTCCAATAAGAAGAGCAAATTCTCGAATACTGGTTCGAGAAAATTCGGAGGAGGAGCCGAAGCCAAGTGGTGTGACAAGTGCAAGAAGAAACATGATGGGAAATGCAGCATGGAAGTCACTTGTTACAAATATGGAAAGCCAGGGAATTATGAAAATGAATGCACCTTCAATAAGAACGTCTGTTTTAGGTGCAATGAAGAAGGGCATATTTTGAAGGATTGCCTGAAGAAGAAGGATGCAGCAAAGCCCAATATTCCACCAAAGCCGAAGGCGAGAGCCTTTCAGATGACACTCGAGGCTGCGAAAGAAGAAGTCGATGTCGCTTCAGGTACCTTTCTCGTAAACGAATTGCCTGCCCAAATTTTCTTTGATTCTGGAGCCAATTACTCCTTTATTTCGCATGAATTTGGTAGAAAACTAGCTTTGCTTGTAGATAGACTAGTTAATGCTATAATAGTCGAGATTGCTAGTGGCAAGTTTGTACCTGTTAGCCATCGTATCAAAAACATCCTCATTGACTTGAATGGGAATAAGTTCCACGAGGAATTATTACCTATCGGGTTAAATGGTTTAGACATAGTTTTTGGAATGGATTGGCTTAGCGTCAATGATGCCGAAATATTGTGTAGGAAGAAGATAGTAAAAGTAAACCCGCCAAGGAAAGAGTCGTTTATGGTGTATGGAGATAAATGCAGAGTAAACTCTGGAATCATTTCCCTAATGAAAGCCAGAAAGTGTTTGGCCAAGGGATGTACATCATATCTAGCGTTCGTGATCGATGCTAAGAAGGAAAATAAGGAGGTGCAGAATATTCCGGTGGTATGTGACTATCCGGAAGTCTTTCCCGAAGATCTTCCCGGATTGCCCCCTGATCGACAAGTATAATTTCGTATCGACTTGTTACCAGGAACGACGCCGATAGCAAAAGCACTGTATCGATTAGCACCAACAAAGATGAAAGAGCTTATGACACAACTTCAGGAGTTATTGGACAAAGGTTTTATTCGACCTAGTTCATCACCCTGGGGAGCCCCGGTGTTATTTGTAAAGAAGAAAGACGGGAGCATTAGAATGTGCATCGATTAAAGAGAGCTGAATAAAGAAACAATAAAGAACAAGTACCCGTTGCCGAGGATCGATGACCTGTTCGATCAGTTGCAAGGTTTGAGCTATTTTTCGAAGATCGATCTTAGGTCAGGATACCATCAACTAATGGTGAGAGAGCAGGATATCGAAAAGACTGCGTTCAGAACAAGATATGGACACTATGAATTTTTGGTTATGTCGTTCGGACTAACCAATGCTCCAGCAACTTTCATGGATTTGATGAACAGGGTTTGTAAACCATACCTTGATAAATACGTGATAGTATTCATAGATGATATCTTGATTTATTCGAAAAGCAAGCAGGAGCATGACAAGCATCTGCGTGAAGTGCTAGAAGTTCTGAAAAAGGAGAAGTTGTATGCAAAGTTCTCCAAATGTGAATTTTGGATTCAAGAAGTCCAATTTTTAGGTCATGTGGTTAACCAAGAAGGAATAATGGTTGACCCAGCAAAGATTGAAGCTGTAATGAAGTGGGAACAACCAAAAAGTCCTACGGAGATTCGAAGCTTTTTAGGATTAGCTGGATATTATCGTCGAT